TTTTAACTACAAGCAGTCATGGTCTTTTGTTATTTATCACAAATTTTTCCAAGGCGCAGAGCTATATACATTGTATTTTTTTTTACCATGGCATATGTAGTCCTTAACCTATAACAACAGGAAATCATGGGACATAACATCTAGTTGGAGGCCTTGATGATCTGCAGCTTTATCCTTTCACAGGCCAGTCTATGGTTGCTACCTCTTTTGATATGACAGCCAATTGAAGCAGATCTATAGGGGCTCCATTTATTGAATGGAGTTACAGCTCTGTCACCATCTCAGTGCTTCCTTCTACCCTGTTCAGTCCCTGCCCTGATTGCACTGGCAGATATGTCAAATTTTCTGCAGCAATCCTCTGCTGGAAGATTGCAGGACACATGCAGCAATGTATAGTCGACTGCCATGAGTATGCATGTACCGTAGGAAAGCAGTGAGTCAGTATAGATGGTTAATACTCAGAGCCGCTCCCCTCCACATGGTCCTGGAGGGAGGTTGAAAAGTATATGAATTTCCGATCCCCCACTCCCTGCAATCTGAACATTCCTTGAGAAGTCTGCTAACCTCATATATATCAGGAGACAAACAGACAGAAAATGCTGCACTTGAGCTCCACCGCATGCTCAGCTATAATAGGCACACCAATACATTAACATCATCGTTATTTTTTCAGATGAAACCGTACTCATCCCAAAGGAAATATCAGAGCTTATCCGCTGAATGAGAACCCACCACACTGCCAGGACCTAAAGGGGGACTCTACCTTATCAATCCACACAGGAATTAAATCACTGCAGTTTTCTCATAAGGTCATATTATTTATGTACAGAAGATACATATAACAAGTCTTACATAGAACTTCAGACACAATTATAATTTCAAAAATGATCTTAAAATGTATTTTAAAGATAGTTTCCATGTAAGGTTTATGTTGCTAAATGTGTCCTTTTGGGGATAAATCATTTTCAGTTCTGTCTGACATCCATCAAACTGCCAGCAAGTAAAAGGAAATCTCTCAATAGGGACAGAGATTTTAACACTTTGTAATACAATTTAATATTTATAAACTTTAGGAGCTTCTCCAGCAGTAGAGTATTTCAGGAGAGGAGAGTTATATATAATGGAATAAGCAGAGACCTCTAGCAGTGCAGAGTATTTTAGGAAAAGATAGTGGAAGGAGCAGAGAACGCCAGCAGCGCAGAGTCTTTCAGGAGAAGAGAGCTATATCATGGAAAGAGTCTGCCAGCAGCGCAGAGTCTTTCAGGAGAAGAGAGCTATATCATGGAAAGAGTCTGCCAGCAGCGCAGAGTCTTTCAGGAGAAGAGAGCTATGTCATGAAAAGAGTCTGCCAGCAGCGCAGAGTTTTCAGGAGAAGAGAGCTATGTCATGGAAAGAGTCTGCCAGCAGCGCAGAGTCTTTCAGGAGAAGAGAGCTATGTCATGGAAAGAGTCTGCCAGCAGCGCAGAGTCTTTCAGGAGAAGAGAGCTATGTCATGGAAAGAGTCTGCCAGCAGCGCAGAGTCTTTCAGGAGAAGAGAGCTATATCATGGAAAGAGTCTGCTAGCAGCGCGGAGTCTTTCAGGAGAAGAGAGCTATATCATGGAAAGAGTCTGCCAGCAGCGCAAAGTCTTTCAGAAGAAGAGAGCTATATCATGGAAAGAGTCTGCCAGCAGCGCAGAGTCTTTCAGGAGAAGAGAGCTATATCATGGAAAGAACAGAGTCTGCCAGCAGCACAGAGTGTTTCAGGGGAGGCCAGATAAATAAGAGAAGGAGCAGAGTCCTCCAGCTTTGCATTAATGCTGCATTTCAGAAGAGTCTGATAACAGAATGAGCACATTCATTCAGAAGCACAGTATATTTTAGGATAGGAGTGTTAGGCAGGATGATTCATATATTTTTTTGTGTTCAACCAGTAGTTAGAATAAAAAAAAAAAAAAAAAAAAAGTTGATTCCCTCCCTGACACATTTGAGGTGGAGGATAAGGGAATCCTTCCTGTCAAGATGTTTTATTCTGCTGTGTCGCCGACCATAGCCAGTGGCACTGATTGTTCGAGAAAATTCAAACAGGCTGGTTGTACACAAATTGATCGACTTTTATACAATCCCTACTGAATCAGCTGAATTTCAATCCATGTATGGCAAGTTTTAAACAGAGGAAGGATTAGAATTCTTCAGCAGCACAGAATATATAAGGAGAGGAAAGTAGTAAATCAAAGGGAAAGGTGTCTTCCAGCAGCACAGAGTATGTAGCGAATCTTGATCTAAATTTCTCTCTGCTGGAATCAGATGAGTGACAGGTCATTTCTGCTTTATACAGTCAGCCGGAATGTGAAGTGAAATGTGTACAGTCCTCAGCCCGGGTGGGGAGCATTAGTACATGTTGCTGCCTGTGAGTATGTGAATGGTAGCTAGATGAAAGGCACAGTGCTCCTCTCACTCCAACATCGTACAGCTTCCACCTGCACATTCCTGCCTCCTGCACGCCTATACACGTGTGTTTACACACAGACCTCCAAATACCACAATGACATCATCCGAGCTGTCAGCTCTGGAATCACTGGCTGCTGGACAACCCCAAGTTCCTCATTATCCACCAACAAAAGTATTGTTCTGATGACCACCTGTCCAGAATGCCTCTATTGCCAAAAAAGTTTAACATTAACTAAACCCAAGAACATAAATATAATATATTGCAGCACACCAGTCCTTACATATGGTGGATGCATTCGTTTTCATTTTTCAGTCTAAGAACATTTTCAGCAAGCACAGAAAATACCTGTTGATCCTGCCAGAAAAACAGTATCCTTGTCACTTCCTCTGAGTAGAAGCAAAATAATGTTTTATTGATTCTGTAAACTATAATGTATGTACTGTACATTTATAATGTAAAGCGCTGAGCAAACTATTGGCGCTATATAAATCCTGTATAATAATAATACAAAACTACTGTACTAATCCTATCACACCACATGTAACAGGGATAAAAAAAAAAGGCAGACGTTTTTGAAGCCCATCCATTGTGGCAACCATGGCTTCCTTCATAGATGCAATGGAGGAGTGAAAGCAGCCACCCTAGGACAGGAAGTGTGTTATCTGCAGGATTGCTAGGTGAACATAAAGGGAAACAAGCCTGGAAATGGAAACTAATGCAGCCACCACATCTAGCTGGTAAACTGCAATACATTACTTTTTTGGCAGAATGTATACAGGCCTTAAACATAAAAAAGATTTCAGTACAAACATGCATGCTTGCATCAGACAAATGTCCAAAATAAAATTTATGGAGAGGGATGCATCTTACAGACATCCCTGAAGTCAGACCACTGGCTTCTACTGTTTTTTACTGCGCTTTCTACTGTTTGCAGAGTACAGCTAGTTCAGAAGTCGCCAGGCTCTTGATCATCTTTTGTGTAATTCTAACTGTCACCTCCATTGTCATCTTCTGTCTTTTAGGATTAAAAAACCCCAATAAAATGATTAGCATTCAGCGTGGTGGCACAGGTGGCTGAAATGTGCTCAGATTCTTTTTATCCTTTGCGTCTGCCACATCCGATTATCGGTTAAAGAAAAATCAATATTTCACCGGACTGGCTCAGCTTGGGGCATATGTCTTGCTTGTCACCCTGTGAGGACATTACGGGAACCAGAGTGAGTCCTTCATTCAGTGACCAAAGCACAGAATGTTATACTACTCCACTCCTTTGTGTTGTGACAGAGAGTGATAAAGGACTGAAAGGAGTTTACACAACAGACATGTCTTCTGTCGCCAACAACCTTGAGAAACAAAAAAAAAAGCCCCAAAAAACAGACAAAACAAGTTTATGTCAGGAAAGATATAGATGTCTGTAAAAAGATCTGATGACTCTCTCGAGGTCTGTGTTTCTGCAACTTATATAACACACACGGCCAGAAAAAAAAGAAATCAAACCAAATATGAACAGTTATGCAATTGTATGGGGTATCACTTAGCTCTAGACAGTCTTACAAACAATTTTATAGTGTTTTTTAAAAAGTATTTTTTATTTGACTAAAGCTTCGGACACATGATGAGAATATTGGCTGAATGATCATCCGTTTTGGGTTTTTTGCATGCTAGTCTTATATCATAAATGAAGAGGTTACTAAAGTTACAAAAATTCTTGTACAACAGAATGCAACTTCAGAAGTGATGTAATGTATTGTATTCTTTCGCTTCAGAGCATTCGCAGTATTGGTAACTCAATTTTTTTTACAAACGAATACTTTACTGATTAAACAAAAATCACTTGCTCTGGCATCGTAGAAGACAATTTTTTACATGCTTGTCCCGTCGGATAATTTTGCATGAACTGTCACGATTGGTTCTTGAAAGCCATGTACTAACAATCAAATCATCAGACGATTGTTCCGAAACGTTGCCTTGGTGTGCAGCATTTGTTGCACGTGAAGTGAATTTATATTGATAGTGGCTTTTATGGAATATGTTTAAAGAAACATTTTTGTGCCTGGAGTTCAGCTTTAAAGAATATCTAAACAAAGGAACAAAAATGAAAAGTACTGAACCTTGCTGGTTCGTGGATGCACTGGCTTCATAAAGCCGACCATAAGTGAATCGAAATTTGTCAGGTTCAGCAGGAACTAGGCATATTTCGAACCATGTGAAGTCAGCTCCCGTTGAATGGTCCTGCTGGAAAACCTGAATTCGATCAGCACATGCAGCCAATGGACTACAGTGAGTGTCCTTGTATTCTGATGGCCAGGGAGTCCCGCTGTCCGAATACAAATGCACAGCAGGGAGGATTTCCCATGTCCACTTTGAATGTGTGAATGGGGAAATTGGTTCAGTTTTTTTAATTCAGCCAGCTGGCTGAAAGAAAAATACTGAGCCATGTATGGCCAACTTTCGTTTTCCTTTTCCACACTATTCATTCCTTTATTTTGATCTGGTAATCCTGTCCTAAAAGCGGAGCTCCACCCAAAAGGGGAGGTTTCTCTTTAAGGACTGCTCCCCATTAAGAATTGGCACCTTTGGGGGACGGGCACCCAAATTTGACAGGTACCCGCTCCCACTTCCAGTCCGATCGCCTAGGCGATCAGAAATGGAAGGTGTCCTCCATCCCTCCCTGTAGTCTTTTGGGACACGTAACAGGTCCCAGAAGACTACAGGGCCATTCATGAAGTTCAGCAGTACTCGGGCATGTGCAGTGGGTACCCGGCTGTGAAGCCGCAAGCTGCCACAGGCAGGTGCCCACATTGAAGATGCCGGCCTCCTGAAAAACAGGACGGCCGGTGAAACGGGCTGAGGGGGACACACCACGGGACCGAGGGACAGGTAAGCGGCTGTTTTTTAAAAGTCAGCAGCTACAGTTTTTGTAGCTGCTGACTTTTATTTTTTGACAGGGTGAGTGGAACTCCGCTTTAACTAACTGCCTGACACAGGGGTTGACAACTGTACTGAGCAGTAGTGTTACCGAAGATAGGAAGTCTGTTAGGACTACATAACACCGTGTTAGAACCACATAACATCTCCCTATAACTGGGGGAGGTAGGTAGATATAGTTATAGATAGAAAGGAACAATGCCAACTGAAAACAGTCCAAAGGCAGAGAATACAGAAAGTTATCAGCTCACAAGATTTCTAGCTGGATAAACACCTATTACTTTTGAACTTGTTGAACATATGTAATACATTTCTTCAATGGTATATTTAACAGACCAAAACAGAGCAAATATGAGAAAATCATTGTTTGTAGAAATTCTAAAGTAAGTGTCAAATATATAGATCAGAAAATGTTTCTGATTTGGATTAGATATCCTGTCCTAAAAGATATCTTTTTATATGTCAGACAGAGAGTACATAGCCACACGATGTTGCCACTGTATGAGAATCACAAGACAATCCAGAGGAAAGAAGACAGCAGAAGAGTTCTGAGAGGTTCTAGAAGGTTTCTAGGTGTGTTTGGCTCTTTGGTCCTTCCTCTAAAGCTCCACCAGTTTGGGGCAGGTGGACTAATGCTGTTTGCAAAGCATCATATAATGGACAGGAAAGTTATATGAGACCTTTGATGGATGGTTTACAGCAGAGCGCCAACAAGACGCATCGTTCTTAGACAGATCATCCGGCAGAGTTTCAGGAATCCATTTAATGACATTTTTTTTCCAGGAGAGGGGAGTTATTTAACTCTTGTCTCCTAAAGACAAAAAACATCTCGCCATCCAGAGAGTCAATGTCACAAATAAATGTATACCAAAAACATAAAAACAAGTACAATGCAATTCAGCCTCTTTTATGAAGGATTTTGATGCGATACAACAGGTAGGAGAGCTGCCTGTGACAATGGAGTAATGTCCCAGCTCAGCAATGATCAGATCTTCAGCCTGTTTGTGCCTTCTGTCACTTACTGGTAGAATCTCCGACACCAAGAGCCATTAGTATTTGTAAAAAGAAGAAGACTGGATAAAGGGAGAGGAACCCAACTTTAGGAGCACCAGAACCACTTGAAAAAGGGCAGTTATTGGATACATAGCTAAAAACAGAAGCTTTCCCCATTTGTAAAAGAAAACTGACTTCATATAAACTTTACATAGGAGAGGAAGAATCAAGGTAGGTCAGAAGATCACACTGTCCACTCATGTTACTTTCCAGCTCTAATAGTGGCTGTGAAAACTGTTTATGCTCCGAATATTGATGGAAAAGCTCTTTGTAGCACTCAGCGAATCTGTGAGCGTCTTCTGTGTACTATTATGTGCCACTCATCCCTCTCACCGCTGTGATGACAGGTACACACCAGTTGCCTGGTGTGCTCGAGCTTTCAGACTTTTGCTTCACACAAAGAATTTAATAGAGAACACTTATAATCAGGATAATAGTCTTCAATCTAATTTACAGTGAAGTGATTTATAGGATTATACAGTATTATCAGCAAGGCGGAGATGATGTGAATAAAAATATCAGTTTAAAATACCCCACTAAGAACCAACTGTATGTAAAATGATGGCCTGAAACCTCATCATCAGAAATTACTTCTGTGAGAAAATTATTGATGTCCCATGCATAAAACTACCAATAGAGGTCTAAAAAATGCAGTAGTAGTTCTTCTATCTACTCGACATGTGACAGTTCAGAAGAATTAGGAAAGAATAAAACAGCTACTAGGATCCAGGATGACAGCTTTATCTGCTCTCCTCCTGCATGAGTTGTATGATGCAAAGGAAGGGGGTCAGTACAGACACAAAAAAAAAGAGAAAGAAAGTAAGAAGGATTGTATTTTGCGATTTTATCTGAAAATACCCTGTATTTCAACATAGGCACATTAAAATGTCTGTCTTTCCCACTTTAACCCAATAACATGCCCTTAACCATGTAGCAGGTTTACATCCACACTATCTGCCTCATATCAACTCAATATAAGGGGACAGCCATTAAAGGGTTCTTTTTTTTTTTGGCTTGCAGTTCAATCATTCTCAGCATCTTACCAGATAGCGAATTAATTTGATATGCATAAATAAAATCGTACACCGCTGCTGTTTATACAGAAGAGAAATGAGAAAATAAATATGATGGTTACTTCCAAACAAACCTTCCGCAAATGTTTTAAAGTCGCTAATGGGGCATCAGGCGGCGGCTGAAAGGCTCATTTTATATTCCGCAATTACTGAATGCATTTGTGCTGCTTTATACAACAATAAATAGTAAAAACGATTCCAATGCATTCTTCACGCTTAACTAAACGGATTATTCCGAGGCGAATGTAGCCAGGAAGCACATCTCAGCAGTTTAAAATAAGCAGGGATGTTAGTGTAGTTAAAGGGGTACTCTGCATGAAATGCTCTAAGGGGGAAAGAGAAACAGACCACAAAAAGGGGAATAGAAAAGAAGCAAGGAATTTCCCTGTAAGGGGGCTCAATGCAGCTCTGGCTATCTTTGCAGAAGTTTGGGCCAGTTTGTCCAGTGGACTGCATGCAATATCAACTCCAAACAACAAGCAGAATCTCCGAATGCTGCTGAAGAACCAGTGCTTATGCCAAACTTTGCCTTCAGTTTTTCAAATAGGTAGCCTTGTCTACCCACACACACTGGAGCATAAGAAGGATGCTGCACAGAATCAAGTGACAGGAAGCTGTAGTCAAAGCCTGCTGAGAGTTAAATACTCATTAACCTCCCTGGCGGTCTAATTATGTCAATATTTTTGAATGTCAAAGCAGTACATTGTTTTGCATGGAAATTTGCTGTTTTATATTGTAGGCCTTAGGATTAACTCACTTAAATCTGTCCAAACAAGAGTCTAGTAAACATCTCGGGTATGATAAAGTTTGAAACACAAAATCATACATTATAATATAATAAATTATAAAAAATAATATAATAATAATACATTTAATTCAATTAATGTAATCAAACCAAAAACACTGAAATTTGTCCAAACAAGGGTGCAATATTACTAGACACTGCATATTGGTTTAGTAAACATCCCGGGTATGAAAAATTTTGAAACATGGGACTGCACAAAGTCAGATGTCACAATCAGGACAATGGAACCTGGTTTCCTTTCTGATTTTTCTTTCCACTGTCATCTCGCTTCGAGCAACAAACCACGCACATCCTTGTATCCTTGTAGGTGCTGACTTTTTCTTGGATGGTGGGATGTAGTCCATGAAGTGACAACCAGTCAGGCATTCCGGGTTGACAACACCAACAGCACGACGTCTAGCTCTATTCACAGCCATTGATGGTGTTTGGTGGTTCACAAAGATATGTTCGTCAACTTTCCAAATGAAGTCAGAATGAATAACACAAGCTTGTCTCTTTTTTTTAAGCAGAATGTAGGCATTTCACAAGCATTGCTCAAGAAGATGCCTAAAGATCTTCTTGTAGTACTTCTTTTGCTGTTTCCTCATTGCTGGGTAGAATGTCATTGCTTGGTCCGCTCTGTCTACACCTCCCATGGTGTTATTGTAGTCTGTCACTACTTGTGGCTTCATGATTTCTTTCCCACCTTTTGTGCGTACCATAACAGTGGAGGTATTATGAATTGTACTCATTAGGCACACATCTTTCTTGTCACGCAATCGCAGTGCCATCATTTTGCCTTTCTGCCAGGCAACCATTTCTCCAGTCTTCAGCTTCTTATTACCAAACATTGGCAGCAAGTCACGCTGGTTAGCCCTAACGGTTCCAAAGGCATCGATTTTGTTTTGCAGAAGAAACTGATAAAGTTCAGGAGACGTATAAAAGTTGTCAGTTGTTATGCAATAGCCCTGATTTAGCAATGGCTCAATGAGTGAAAGAAACAAAGATGTTGCCATGCCATAGTTGCTGTATTTTGGATTGAATTTGTTCCTTTTCCAGTGTATATGACTGAATTCCAAATGTAGCCAGTTGACGATTCGCATAGCATGTAGGATTTTATGACAAATCGTGCTCTCTTTGATGCAATGTATTGTACCCAGCTGAGCCTTCCCTTGTAGGCCATTAGACTTTCATCTATGCTGATATCTCTTTCTAGGCATATAGCTCCATTGGAAATTCTTTAGAATCATTTGAGATACTTCCCAAATTTTCTTTAGCTTTGGTGCAGGATGAATAGTTTCATCAAATTCTTTGTTGTTTTCGAAGTGTAAAAATTTAATGATCAGGGAAAATCTGTACTCTGACATGACCGTGCCAAAGAATGGAGTGGCAAATAATTTATTAGTTGTCCAATACCACTTTTGCAGGGGTTTCCCCACCACTCCCTGAAGTATTATTAGGTGCAGAAATTTCCAAATGTCATCTTTGGTCACTGGTTCCCACTCTATGCTTTTGGAAACTTCCGGTGCAGAGTAGCCAATTATTGCTCTTGGTACCAGTTTGTCTCAGTAACAATTTTTTCAATAACCTCATCGATCAGAAATAATTGTAAGTATGCCAAGGGGTTATCATGTTCAATGTCTACTTTCATACCAGATGCTCCTGTAAATGGGAATCTTGGGAGCGCTGCCTGATCTGTACCACAATCAATAGAGCACCAAGTTTGCACATCACTGAGCTCAGTCACAAAATCGTCGCTGTCATCACTTTCAGTGTTTGATGACAAATTTCCCCACGAATCACTATCGCTCAATTCTGCAAGTTATTCTAATTCACTATCACTATTTTCTAGCTGGTCTAAAACTGTTGTTGACCTAAAGGGTCTTTTTGGATGCCATGGACTCAAGTTTCCAGGCAGAAAGAATGGTAAAAGTGCAGGCAGGGCACTGGACAAAACGGAGGTGAAATGGTTTGATACAGTAATGTAATCCTAACAGATTACAATATATTGCATGTATGTAATGTTTTGTTTACTTTTTTGAATCTCCCACCTGTTCCGCCCCCGTGTTATGGCGCTCGCAGGGAAGGGAACCTGGAAGACGGATGCCGGCATCGGCCAGAGGACACAGTGGGAGGACATCGGGGAATCGCAGGGACAAGGTAAGTTACACTACAGTATAATCCCGAGTGTGGTTCGGGGTTACCACCTGGGAGGTTTTTTTTTTTTAAACAAAATAGTCATATTTACCTGCTCTGTGCAATGGTTTTCCACAGAGCAGCCTCGATCCTCCTCTTCAGATGGTCCCTTGCAAGAACCCCTGGCTCTTCCTCCTGCCGTGTGCACCCATAGCAGGTCGACTTGTGATGGGGGTACTTGTGCAGGTTTGATCCCGAGTCACGCCTTTGTGCAAGAGAGAGAGAGAGGAGAGAGCTGCTGCTCTTGTGCACAGAGCTGGATCAAGATTGGGCTCAGGTAAGTATAAGGGGAGGATGGGGGGTTGCTGCACAAAGTCGGTTTTTACCCTAATATAGAGAATGTATAAAAGCAAAAAAAATTCTACTTTGATAACCACTTTAGGTCTAGAGGGTTGCAGAGTAGGCTCTATTACCTACCTCACTACCAATCCAAAGTGGCTCCAGTGCTCTTCTACCCATCTGTTGGCAAAGCCTCTGTGTCATCATTAAGAGTGCAGGGCTATTAATTCTATATAGAATGTGGTGGAGGTGGAAATGTGACCATTGGCAGGGAGCAGCTCACAGAGAAGGTTGTGGGGAACTATTTGCACAGGTTGAGGAAGCCTGCTAGAGCAAGGAAAAGGTAAGTAATAGAGCTCTCATGCAACCCCCTCTAGGCATAATGATCCCTTTTGGGTTTTGGAGTTGGGCTTTAAATAACTTTAATCAGTGATTCTTAGATTATAGCCTCTTACATTTCATTATCACAGTGCTGTGAAACCTCCTCTTTTGTTCCAGTATGTGAGGGGAGACCTGCAGAAGGGTCACTGGCTGCCCCTCCCCCCCACCCCCCCCCCCCCCCGGCTGCATTTCCCAGACTAACATTAAGGGTCAGTAGAAGATGAGAATACCGTCAGCTACAGAAGATGAATATTGAGATAGAAATTACAGCCACTGTGAAGATCAGATGAGCCCCTTGTCTCTGTTTCATGTGTGGCTGGAGTTTCCCTTTAAGAACATAAGCATCCAGCAAAAGGAAAAATATTGGAAAGTCAGGCACCAGCTGTATGATTTTAGGCGCACGGCTCCCAAGCTCCACAGATTGGTCAAGCCCTTGGCTACTGTCCGCTACTAAATCAGAAAGGTGATTAGATATGAAAACAAAAGTACAAAGGGAGAGTCTCTTCACTGGTATTTCTGAGTTGCAAAGTTTACAAACTTTAGCTTTTCTGAACTTGGAGATCTTCAACAGCACTCAAACCTCACTGAGCTTTTAGAAGTTTACTTCTCATAACTAGAATCACTGAACTGCCGCAATTATCCCATCTCCTGCCGATTGTCACCCTGATTATACTTAAAAGCTGTAGAAATAAACTTCTGAGCTTTACCTCCTCCATGATAAACCTTTCAGAATATATTTATTATGCAAAACCTGAGGTAAATCTGGTCAACCTAACACACTGAAGTATTAATAAGCTGTGAGCAATAACGCCATCATTTTCATAAATTTGTCTACATTAAGTCTCATCATGGAAGGATTAGCATTACTCATACAACATTAGAAGTCATAGACTAAAAGTTGAACAGAGCTGATGTAAAAAGTCTATGGCAAATACAAACATCAGCTAAAGAATAAATCTGAACAGGAACTTTCACAAACTTTACAAGTCTGCATGAACAATTTCATGGCATGTCCCAATAAAACAGCAAGAATATGCATTTTCAAAAAACAGTCCTTGAGCTGCAGACAAGTGACTTTGTGTAGGATGGGACGAAGGCTGCAGGCAGGAGGGAGCATTTCCTCAACCTCTTCTTGCAGTGATCAAACTGCACATTGTAACTTTGTTGAAAGTCATAAGGAGAAGGCTGATCTGTGCTAGACATTTGTGAAAATAGTGAAGAATGGCACAGACACCAGGTTTTACAGGGTGGTGCCATCTCTGAGCCAGCTTCTCAGTCCAGGAAGTTGATACAGGCCCTGAATGATGCCTGAACAATTATGGAGCCATCCATCTTCTGGGAAAACCAGATGAATGCATTGTCTGAGTGAGTACTGTCAGCTCTGCAAGAGGCAACAAATACCTAAATGTTTTATGCTCACACATTACTTAAAGTGTTACTACACCCACAACAGTAAAATCAGTCTGTATGTGCAATAAAGCATGCTTTTTATACTCTGTGGAACCCAGGGGGTTAATGCTCTGCATTGTGTAAAAAGGCTGTTTGATTCTGACTTCTCTGGTCCTCCCTTTCTTTCCATCTCCTGATAAGACATATCGTGTGGAGTCACTCTGGACATGCTCAGATTGGTATGTATTGCTAGAGAGGGTTTTTTTTTTCCTTGGGAGAGTGTAAGTGATATAAGCACAGGGCCAATCAGCACTTTCCAGACAGGTCAGGGGTTTTGCATCCTCCTAGAGCAAAATGAAAACTCCTCCTACAAGCTTTAAAGACCGCTGGACACTTAGAAGTCACAAGACTGCTGATGAGAAAAGGTATTTAGCGGTTTCGATTGTAGTGTGTACTGTGAGAGACCAGATATAATGATTGCAGGGTCCTGGGTTTAGTAATACTTTAAAGTAGACCTTCACCCACCCAGATCAACGGAAGCTCTCTGCAGGCTTGCTGCGTTCCACAATATAGATCAGCACTTTTATTTTTCCAACTTTAGGCCTGGCCCCATCCAGCCATCCCCATTCTCGCCTAGGCAAAAATGATGTGTCCCTGCTGACCATACACTGTTAAGATTTTTTCATTCAGCCTGTGGGTTGAATGTAAAACATCCAAAAGGTTCCTCCATCTACATTATACAATGTGGTTCATCTCCTGCTATGGCTATTAATTGGCTCCAGTCACTGTATGTATGGCTGACACATTTCCTCATCTATCCTCAATTTTCCTCATCCTTGGCATCTATTTAATCTTTCCCCGCCTTACACAGTTGCAGGTAGTTTTGTTGGGCATTGGGGAATGGGGAACTGGGGCACCTTTTTTTTCTGGTGCTAACACCTATCTCTTCATAACTTGTCTAGTCAAGGACAATGCAGCCTCTGGTTCACCCCTCCTCCAGTCTTGCAAGTTTGCACCTATGCAATGATGGGGGGCCAACTGAGTAGTCAGAAAGCGACTAACTTTTATTTTTTGAAGTTCCTCTTGAACATGCAAAAGTATCCGATTGTAGTAGGTTCACTTTAAGAGTGATCTTTTTTAGGATGTATAAAGAAAAATATCTGAACAGAAGCTAAAGAGTACCTAACCCCAAAAAGAAAAATGTCATAAACCGCATTTTAGCAATCCTTAGATGAGGTTGTTGTATTAGTTTTCTTTTAACAATTTTTCTTTCCTTTATTCTCATCTGGTGATCTGGCAATAATACACTACCTGTCTCAGTGGCTACCCTCATTCCCCAACTGTATCTATGGAGGAGTAGTGTAGCCATATTTACAGAGCAAGATTGTCAACCTGTGAAGAGGGGAGTTTTAGGTGGACTAGTAGATTTACATGAGCTTTATATAATCCTAACTCCAGCTAATGCTATTTTTCCTTTGGGGATAGAAGTTTTAAATTAATACATAAAAGCCGACCAATGTAAACACCACTGTTAGTGCACATGGTTTGTCTCAAACTTACTGCTACTTTTGCTGGACAGCTTGTTCTGTTACAGGAATAGTTGAAAAATAACAGACTTACTGGCAAGATCAAGGGGTAATAAACTATGTTATAGAAAGGACTCCAAAAGACTGCTGTGTTAATGCTATGGACAAATTGCATCATATGTGTAATGTTTGCTTTTGCCCATAGTTCCACTTTAAGACAACTGTCTTTATATTTACACGTGCTACGTGAAGCCTTGTTTCCTTAACTATCGGCCATGTTAAGCTACATAAAGATCACTGCTAATAGCCCACTTTGTCTTTCAACAGAATTACAGGGCAGGAAGTCACCTGAGAAAACTTCATCATCTTATGTGCACTTCTTGATAAATTCCAAAAACTTTTACAATTAGATCTGTTAGAAGTGTCACTAACTCTTTCCTCTGTAAACTTTCATTTACCTGTTCTGGCAGTTAAATTGCTCCATATCCTCTATACAGGAATAGCTTTCTAATGGGCCAGCTCATATGGGTGGTACCGTCTGCCCCCAGTTCAAGCAGCAGGGTGAATCAGTGCATGTTTTTGTGGTTACGCCAGCGACTGTCAAACAGTGAGTGACTACACACTCATTTCACGCCTTCAAATGACAAAAAGGAGAGACGCATCTTCAAGAGCACCTAATCCCCCGCAAATCCCTAGAAACTCTTCAGGTGTCCTAAGATGACATCTTCCTGATGCTACAAGTTACACAGAATTATCCTGACAGATGCAGAGACCTGCCTGACTGCAACCAAGCCTTCACAATAGTATGGAAACTAAAATAAAACTGACACCAGGTACCCACTCCCCCCCCCCCCCTTAAAAAAAGTACCACTACGTAAGGAGAGGGCAAGGGGCCTTAAAGTGGAACTTTCCCTTTTGGGTGGAGCTCCGCTTTCAGCTGGCCATACACGAGTAGACTTTTGTTCAAACACTTCAATGGAAATTCTGAAAAGTCATTTGAAAACACAATCATTGACTTTTTTCCCTTTTTCCCATTGTTGTCTGTAAGCTGAATTTAGGTCACCGAGTCATATGCAGACACAGGGAAGATCTTATGTATGAAAAAGGCATGCTTAGTTTTCCTTTGGGATCTTTAAAGGTCTCTATTGATCCCTGACAACTAATCAATAAGCTATAGAAGGAGTATACAAATCTAACGATCTAAACAAAGAACATCTTGTTTGAGTTATGCAGAATGCCCTGTATAGATAATATCAAGAAATACAGGAACCTCTAGACTGGCCAGACCTTTTATGATCCTGCAAGAGCTCTTAAACGACAGCGCAAAGAAAAAAAATTGTTTGATTTTTATGGATATATTTTTATAGGCAATTACAGTTTTTTGTTTAGCAGCACAAATGGTCCTGCTGGGCTATTGTATTATGGCAGCAGCTGTCAGAATACCCAAACAGCAACTGCATCTCACTGGATGCAGCTGCTGTTTGGCCAACAATAATCAGATTTTTCAGTCAAAGAATGTCAGACAATAGGAACTGGCCAAAGTCAGAATAGTATTTGGGCAGCTTACTATTCCCTCTTTAAGACTGCAATGAAGTAGATTTATGTTTTTAAAAATAAACAATTAAAACTTCTATTTTGGGACTTTTTTTTTTTTTAATTTCTCCTAACTCTTTTAGTGTATGCCAGCAAGCCTCCACCCAATGTCACAGATTATCTGCCGGATCAGAAGTGTGCTGGGATTGAACCGGTGACCTTCAGGTGACACGGTGTGGTCTGCTGCCAAGTCAATGACTCACGCATGGCTCTCCTGACTGCGCTCAGTAAAGTCATTTTTCACATCGGTTTTCTGTGCGGTGCCATTAATCAGTCTTCAGGTTGCCTTTCTGAATCCATCACATCCCATTCTGCATAATCTCTCCCCTCCGTCTGCTTCCAATTACAATGGAGCCTGATTCACATTACCCAGAGTCCTTTGGGGCCTATTGCACAGGTCTGTAGCATCCCCTAAGTGCAACCTTCAGGAATGATGGAATGAAGATGACGGCCACAGTGGAGGAATTCCAGAACATAAAATAAAGCAAGATGTATAATTTTAAGGAAAACTCTGATGCATGGTCTCCAAATACAAATTTAGAGTGACTATTGAAAAAAGGACCTGAACACAATTTTTTTAAGTTATTTTCTCTCTTTAGAAAAAACAAAACAAAAAAAAAAAAACCACACACTTTATGTTCCATATAACCATAATGAACTTTCATATAAAGTATGTATTCCAGGACTGTGACAACAGTTTGGGGAAGGCTCTTTTCTGTTCCAGTATAACTGTAACCCTTTGCGGAAAACCAGCTCCATTGAGAAATAGTTTGCCTACATAGAGCTCTGACATGTCAATCCCCATCGTTTTGAAATGGGATACCCAACAGATTTATTTGGAAGGGATACTGAAATTTCCACAAACATTTGTAATATAGTGTATATAGCCCAAGATTCTTTTACCAGAGGAAACACTAGTTTAAAAGTCCCCCTTACTGACAAATTGGAAACTGAAAGATGGCAAGAACAGCATTTATCACTTACACAGAATATGGATCAACTTGATTTGGTAAAATGTTCAGTCTTCATTCACAGTTACGTGTCTTATGTGACTTTGGAGATCAAAGTCGCAGCTTTTTCTTTTTAATGTCACCCATTTGCAGTGACTCTGAAAAGGTGCCTGCACTACTTAAATGCGACTTGACCCAGAGAGTGTAAAGTTAGATCAAAGTTGCTCCAAAGTCACAATGAAAATTGTGCGACTTTGGAGTTGCACAAACATAAATGGAGCCTTAGTGTAGGCACCTACTAATAAGTCTGAAGAAGTTTAATGTTATTTCAGTCAAATCCGTAGAGTTGCTGCTCATTTAGCACCTCACCACAGCTGCTATACTTGTAACATTACTGGATCATCTACAGTCATTGCCAAAAATATTGTCACCCCCTGCATTTCTGTCAGATAATGCACCATTTCGCCCAGAAAATTGTTACAATTACAAATGTTCAGGCATATTCATGTTTCTTTAAAAAAAGTAGAGACATAAAAGCCAAATCTGACACATTCCACGCAAAACCCCAAAAATGGACTGGACAAAATTATTGGAACATTCTCAAAATTGTAAGAAATAATTGCATTCCAAGTTTGTGATGCTTCTGTAATTTGTAACTAAACTCACCTGTATCAATTAACAGGTGCTAACAATATAGAAATCACACTGGCAACCAGGTAAAATGGTGAAAAATTTTACTTAACCTTGCTGTTGGGTGTCTCTGAGTGCCACATGGAGTATGGAGAAGAGAAAGAGCAGCAAAGAAGTATCTGAAGATTGGTGAACCAAAATTGTGGAAAAGCATGGACAATCTCAATGTTACCAGTCCATCTCCAGAGATCTTAAAGCAATTCTAAAGGTTCATTTTTTTTTTTTAAATAACAAACATGTCTATATTTACCTACTGTGTGCAGTGGTGTTGCACAGAGCAGCCTGGATCCTCTTCTTTGGGTGCCCCCCACAGCAAGCAACTTACTATGGGGGCATCCGCTGCTCTGTGTGTCCATTCAAACACGAAACCGTGGCTTGGCCCCGCCCCCTCTCTCCTCATTGGCTGACTGGCTATGATGGACAGCAGCAGGAGCCAATGACTCCCACTTGCTATCTCAGCCAATGAGGCCTGGGACAGCTGAAGCTGTCATTCACATCGCTGGATCGTGATGGGGCTCAGGTGAGTATTGAGGGGGCTAAGGGGGAACTGCTGCACACAGAAGGGTTTTTACCTTCATGCATAGAATGAAAAAGCCTTCAGGCTTTACAACCACTTTATTGTTCCTGTGTCCACTGTGCACAACATTGTTAAGACATTTGCAGCCCATGGCCCTGTAGCTAATCTCCCTGGATGTGGACGAAAGATAAAAATTGATCAAGGATTGCAATGAACAATTGTTTGAATGGTGGCTAAAGAAACTCAATCAACTTCCAGACAAAGTCAAGCAGACCTTCAAGCACAGGGTACAACTATGTCAGCTCACACAATACATTGCCATCTGAGTGAAAAGAGAAGCTATGGTATGAGACTCAGGAGGACCCCATTGCTGACACAGAAACATAAAACAGCCAGATTGGAATTTGCCAAAACATACCTGAGGAAGCCAAAATCCTTTTGGGAGAATGTACAGTGGGCAGACAAGACATAATTACAGCTTTTTGGTAAAGCCCATCATTCTACGGTTTTCAGAAAAAGAAATGAGACCTTTAAAGAAAAGAATACAGTCCTTCCAGTCAAACATGGTGAAGATATCACTTATGTTTTGGGGTTGTTTTACTGCTTGACCGTGTGCATGGCATTATGAAATCTGAAGTGTAACAAAGAATTTTGGGGTGCAATGTAGGTCCCAGTGTAAGAAAGTTGATCCTCCGTCAGAGTTCATGGGTCTTACAGCAGGACAATGACCCAAAGCACCCAGAAATGGTTTCAGACAAAGCACTGAAGAGTACTGCACTGGCCAGTTTTGAATCCAGATCTCAATCCCATAGAGCACCTGTGGAGAGCTCTCCAAAACTCCAGTAGAGAGGTGTAAAAAACGAATTGATGGTTACAGTAAGTGATTGATTTCAGTTGTTTTTTCCAAGGGGTATGCTACCAAATATTAAATTGAGGGTGCCAATAATTTTGTCCAGTCCATTTTTGGGGTTTTGATTGGAAAGTGTCAGATTTGAATTTTTGTTTCTCCGCTTTTTGTGTCATACCAATACAAACAAAAGAAATAGAACATGACAATGCCTAAACATTTGTAATTGCAACAATTTTCTGGGTGAACTGGTGCATTATCAGACAACAGGGTGATATAGAGATATGAGCTGGGGGGTAATGCGGGCTCTCCCACTGACACAATGATGGGTACTATTCCTTCCATCAAATCCAATAATGGTGCACAATTCCTCCCACTAATAACCAATAATGGAGGACTATTCCTCCCACTAATGCCAATGAATGGGACAGTAATCCTCCTCCTACTGACTACAGGTGCTATGTGATTTTTTCTTTTTTACTCACACTGACCACCAAAGCCCGAGATAAGGTTTACTCCCACTTATACTGGGGCATTTCCTACTAACACGGGCCAGAGTCTGGCCTCCCTAAAGTGTGAAGGACAGTAAACTGGCCCTTTGCTTAAAAAGTTTGGAGACCCCTCATCATTTTGTTAGAAAAAAAAAAATTAAGGGCGTCATACAGATTATAGCTTCAAAAGCAGGTGTTTTCTGAAATAGACCATCACCAGTTACATCAACCCCCAAATACTAATGTGGGTCACTAAGCTAATCATCCAGAAGAAAGGGCCGAGGAGCATGGACGCTAAGGGATTGATTTACTAAAGTTGAAGAGTGCAACACCAGGTGCAGCTATGCCTGATAACCAATCGGCTTCTTTTTTTTTTTCTTAATTTTTCTTATCATTTTCCAAAGTCTAACAAGCAGTTATTACAAAAATTATCTTATAAATTTCACATTTTCATTAAAAAAAAAAAACAAATAAAAAAAGAACATCAGAGAAATACAACTATAACCACTTTTCAAAACGTATCAATTTTCTATTGCCTTCTGTTCCATCCTGTGTGATGGTCTTACCTGTGACTGTTTAATAAAACCAAAGAAAAGTGCAGCTATTTTTGATAGATGAGATTTCTTGCAGCAGCTGATGTGTTGATCCCAGTGCATCACACTGTTCACATTTTTTTTCAATAAACTTTATTGAAAGTAACATTTAATAAAATCCTATTGACTGGCATGTGGTAACTGCTCTATGTTGGGGAAAAAAGCGCTGCATGCGTTGCTGTCCTCACACCACCGCAGCACAGTGCTTGTACTGGCCTAACCAGAGACAAGGCTTGTCTTGTGGTAGGA